ATATGGGAAAATCAAACGCGGCATATCTATGCTAATCTCAAGTGCCACCTTGGCGAACTGTGCGAATGCTGCGAATATGGGAAAATCAAACCCGGTATATCTACACTGACTTTAAGTGCCACCATGGCGAACTGTGCGAATGCTGCGAATATGGGGAAATCAAAACCGGCATACATTCAGTGATCTCCGCAGCCTCTTTGGCGAACTGTGCGAATGCTGCGAATATGGGAAAATCAAACGCGGCATATCTACACTGACCTCAAGTGCCACCTAGGAGAACTGTGCGAATGCTGCGAATATGGGGAAATCAAAACCGGCATACATTCAGTGATCTCCGCAGCCTCCTTGGTGAACTGTGCGAATGCTGCGAATATGGGAAAATCAAACGCGGCATATCTACACTGACCTCAAGTGCCACCTTGGCGAACTGTGCGAATGCTGCAAATATGATAAAATCAAAACCGGCATACATTGAGTGACTTCAACAGCCTCCTTGACGAACTGTGCGAATGCTATTCTGATGGCTGCAGGCATCATTGCATTATATCGACGACGCCGAATAATTTAAGCGCTAAGAAATGCTCGAGTAAGGCCGCCCACATAAGGCACCAATTACGATCCAGTGTTGAAACATTAAGAATAATTAATACCCTTTATTATGTACTGCGGTAAAATAAAGGGTGACACTATAGGCACCCTAAAAACCCCCGTTTACTATAGGCACCCCTTTTCCGCACCCCGTTAATTAAAGGCACCCTTATCTTATTAATTGATTCTTTCGTGCACCCTGTCTTTTATAGGCACCCCTATGAAACTTTAGCATATTATACTGTAATTGTAGTGTTAGAACCTAGAGTAGGGTAGATACGGTAATGTTGAAAACTACTGCTTGTACGCTGTTGTTGTGCAAGATCGCCACGGGAAAGGTCGACCAGTTGCACTTTGTTTTATGCCATACGAAAGAAACCACTATATCGACGCGTTTTTCACCGCTTTTAAAAACTGCCACAAAGACTGGGGGTAAGGGAAAACTTTGGTGTCCGAAAAGAACCCAAGGAGGCCACCTGGTGTCCGAAAAGAACCGACAGAAAACCGGCTTCCAAAATTACAATTGCGAAACGAAACATCAAACTTACCGCCGACGATGCCATCCTCATTAGATCTAAGATAGCAGATTAGCCTCACCGCCCATTCATCGAATGGAAAGCCTGATTCTGTCTGTATGCGAGTATCTGTATGAGACTGACGCACGTACAGTACATGAAATCATTTTCGAGTTCTGTATCCGAAATATGCTATTAAAGGGTGCCTATAAAATACACTGACAGGGCGTTTCTATTTAATAAACAGAAAAGGGTGTCTATAAATTACGGGGTGCGAGAAGGGGTGCCTATAATAAACGAAGGTGTAAGGGGGTGCCTAATCCTATAGTGATTTCCTAAAATAAAACTTAACGTAAGCAATTATTATACGTACGTATGAAGTACTAGACTCGTGCATCACCAACAACATAGCCTAGATATCGTCAAATACTCTTTGCAGGTATTACAAGTACATAATCGTAAGCGTGATAAATACGACCGTTTTCTGGAAGTACATGCCATATGCGTTAACATATGGCACGTATCCGTACACGAGTATCGGACTTTCCATCCAACCCTTCCGAAGAGGATATCGGACTTTCCATCCAACCCTTCCGAAGAGGATACCCGTTGCAAGAGTGAAGAATCTTCACCGACCCTGCCCTTTCAAAGGACCTGATTTCGATCGCTTTCCTATAATTCACGAAGAGGATGTAATAACAGGTTATGCCTTATAATACCTAACAATGTGTTAGGAAAATGTGAAAATCAGATCTGGCGTGCCGTTGCGTTTGCTACTAAGATTTACCTTTGAAGCGATCTTGGCGAACGCTGCGAATGCTGCGAATATGGGAAAATTAGACCCAGCACGCAGTTCGGTATGTTAACTAAGATTATTCTTTGAAGCGCTCTTGGCGAACGCTGCGAATGCTGCGAATATGGAAAATTAGACGCAGCACGCAGTTCGGTATGTTTACTAAGACTGACCTTTGAAGCGCCCTTGGCGAACGCTGCGAATATGGTAAATTCAGACCAGGTATGCCGTTGTGTATGTTTACAAAGGCTGACCTTTGAAGCGCCCTTGGCGAGCGCTGCGAATGTTGCGAATATGGGAAATCAGTTCCGGCATGCCCTTTGGTATGCTTGCTAATACTACCTTTCAAAGCACCCTTGGCGAGCGCCGCAAATGCTGGGAATATTTAAAAATCAAATCTGGCATATCTACATTTCACAGTAACCTCAAAAGCCGCCTTGGATAACTGTGCGTATGCTGCGAATATGGAAAAGCCATACCTGGCATACCTGAAGAGACTTAAACAGCAGCCTTGACGGACTGTGCAAATACTGCAGAGTCTTGATTAATTTAAGGTCTGACTGCCAAACTCATCTCAACAGTTCAACTCATCTAAAGAAACTCACCGCGCAACTGGCAAGCGCCAAAACTGCCGTCAGCCATTGACATTGTTAATGGCTGAGTATAAACCGAAAGACTCATTTACACTACTACCTTTTTCCAGATAAACGCGGATTAGCTCTCAAGAGATGCACTGCTGGCGCTGCTACTGCAACTTGTGTTACAAATTGCGTACGTAAATTGCGTACGCTACCTATATGGGGTTACTGATCTCATTCTTTACCGCGTGATATGCTGAATATGAGCTTCTGTTGCGAAGTAATCGGGAACGCGACTTGGCATCGTATAGACACTCACTGGCAGCGACGGCTGCCCCACCAGAGGAGATAGCAGCAGTTGATCAACTGCATCTCCGGAAATTCCGGAACCAAAGCCAGATGGATCCCCGAAGACACCGAGTATTTGCTCGCCAGTTCCTAGAATGTCGCCATTCCCAGTAAAGACTGGACCGTCGCAACCACTGAAACCGGTGCCTAGTGAAAAGATAGCTGAAGCAACGGCTGTGACTCTGGACATTATAAATGATGTCCGGAAAAAGGATAAGATGGCAGCATTTGCCCATCTGTTACAGAGATATAGGCAGATTATAGCCCCGCGATATATCGACACCGAAGAATATGGGACGATAGTTAAAGTTGCCGCAGAACGCGGTACATTAGTAGAAGTGTACGAAAACTGGATACCGACAATGAAATACGCGATAACCGCGACTCGTAAAAGCCGATATGTCGGACTGAAAATAACGAACATGCAGGAGATGGTAGAAGCAGCGACAATCGCTATCAGGGACATCCACAACGTTCGTGGATCGACTATTGACGAGATTGTTAGGTATATGTACCTAACAATGCCGTTAGATTCAGTTAATCCCGAGCAGCGTTATTCCGATGTTAACGCCGCAGTTAATGAGGCAATAGCCACAGGAATAATCGTAGATGCGGCGTTGGCCGGGAATAGTGGGCGATACGCCTTAGCGGAGACAAACCGCAAAAGAATTGCTGAATTAACCGGTCAGCATATTGAAGAAATACCGTATTTACCCGCAAAGCGCGTTCCATTCGGGCGGAAGCCTATAGCAGTTGATGAGCCAAAAACCTTGTTGGCACAACCGTCGCGTAATGAGTTGGCAGTTGCCATTTATAAAATTGAACAGAGAGGGAAAAATCCCACTGCACAGCGGATAAGTGAATACTTCAGCACTTATCAGCCATATGCAGTACAGTCTATGCTTCGTACGATGTACGAAGACGCACAGGTAACCCGTCGATATAATGGTGAAACCTCACCTTCTTATTATTTCGGACGCAAAGGACTTTCTTTTCTACAAAGAGTACAGTTTGACAAGGTCCCGCAGTGGGACGAGATCGTTGTGAAAACGATCGTGGAAATTGGTGATCCCTCGGGATCGTCGCCTGACGAAATCATACAGTATATCAGGACTGTATGTCCAGCAATAGCTGACCAAGTGGATGATGCCGTGACTTTGGCGATAAGTCGCCTAATTACTGATCCGAGAATAATCGGATTGAATGACCCGCATCGCGGGATGGTATTATCCGTGGTTTTAGACCACATCATTGAAGAAGATAATTAATTACAGTATCTCCGACGTGGTAGATGCGTATAAATACGCAGTCAATCGAAATGCCGTAATTACTGCATAATTTAATTATTTTAAATTAATTGCAGATAACATGGAAGAATTACCGTATGCCTATGCGCCAATGCGCTCCTGTAGAAGGTGCCAGCATAACACCAATAACCGGAAATGTGTGGAATGCACACTTGGACCGAATTTCCGATCGGAAAATCCGCAGATTACCGTATCCCGTCTGTACGACGAAGTACTGCTGCGCAGTCTGGATGCCTACCGTACTGTTACATTGCCGGAATATTGGACAATAGTCTGTGCAACACCGTATTACTATCGGGGTATTTTCGATAGTGCTGTGCAGTTTATCAGCGAGGACAACGATGCGTGGGCCTACGCGGTCCATCCCGAGAATTACGGGCGATGCACAGCGGATCTGATGAAGCGCATAAGTGCGCCACCAAATCAGGTAAATTTACCTGTTATTAGTGAATGTGGGAATTTTGAAATATTCCCTTTGAATAGTAATATTCAGTACTTACCGGGCAGGGATAATTCCCATAATTTACAGAGTTGCTCGACGAGTACCAGCGGACAGCAAATGTCGTATCAGCCGCAACAAGGCCAAAGGCAACCGCCGGTCATGTTTCAGCCGCGACCATATCAGCAGCAAAGTCTGCCAACAACGGGATATCAGCAGCAAATGCAACCGCCTATCCGTTATTCGAATATGGCATTGCAAGTGCCGTCGGGTGCTTTGCCACCGGAGCATATTGCTCACCTTCAACAGAGCCTTCCCAGTGGAAGTTACCAATACGATCCGGAAACGCGGATGATAACTTCGTGTCCCTGGCCAGCTGGGACAGCACCGAAAGAACCACAACAACGGCAATCCAACCCGTTGTTAGCGAATCTTCCGCCGTTGACCAGGATGGGACCAGCGAGTCAAACGCCGTATCCACAACAAACGTTGCAAGTACAGCCTACGACTTCCAGAGCCGTAAGTGAACCAGTTGCAAATTCAGAACCGAATTCAGGTGCTAGTTATTCTAGCAACACTAGCAATGCTAGTGGTACAACACGGCATAAGATTACTTATCATTCACCGAACGTGGGGAAAACCCCAGATAACTCGTTCGTAGAAGGTGATATAATGCCTGGTAAATTGAATGTGGCTGCTAAATTTCAGAAGAAAGCAGCAAATTGGAACGTTCGCGCAACGCATGATAAACTAGCACAGTATAAGCCAGATGCATCTGTATTACTGATGCCAGAGCGACAGACATATCCGCAGCGTATCCGCCGCGATATCGACGCCATCCGTCAAGACCTGGATCAATACATTGATCGTGTTGCGTCGGTAATTGGCACCGTTAATGCTGATCAGAGAACCGAAATTGGCAAAGCCATTACTGATACCTTGGACTTGTTACATACCGTCGGGTATGATCTACGTATTCGGAATTCGATCAATATGTATAAGATCGATCTGTTTCGGCAAATGGAAGTCCGGCGATACGAGACGCCGCGTCGTAATGGACTGCGTAGTGCGCTGGATATCTCCCAGCTTAAAGAGAAACTTATTGAAATCACCGTGGTGGACTGGGAATTAATTTCCCAGTTTAAAATTCTATTCACCGAAAATCCGGAGGAATTCCTCCTTCAGTTTATACTACCGGACACGGATCCAACAAAGTTCTGGTTTTTCTGCCGTGCCGCATGTGCGCTTCAGCGTAAAATCGCCCCCATGAAAATTACGTGGGATGCGATTAGTATCGGATGGGGATTAAAGCAATATGTTTTGGTTATCCTATCCGCGTTGATGGGTAATTGCCATGCCCATCACTGGGCCCGGACTTATAGGCAGGTTGAGCAAAATCGCCGTCTGAAAAGTTATGTTAATCGCTTGGGTGAGCCACTTAATGAGGAACAACAAGCAAAAGTGCTGAACGATCTTTTGCATGTGATGCAAGTCGATGGACTTCAAACCGATTCCATCTGTAATGGACATTATGATGGGATCTACGATCTCGTCAAACGATTTGCGGAACGTCAGGGCCAGGGGAAGCGCAAGGTCGCTCCAAATTCACCTGATACTCCGACAACGAGCCAGACAGTACAGCCAGAACCGAAAAAAACGGTAGTGTCAATGGACACTGAAGAAACTGAGGAAACGCCGGAGACAGCTAATGCTGCACCAATCGCAGTTAACACTGCAACCGCAGCGCCGGCTGCGAATACCGAATCTGCAGTGATCACTGCGCCGCCTGGCGAAATTCCGCGAACGGATGTCGTGGCGTCGGTGGAATCACTGACAATTTCGGGGAGTGCGCAGAAACTCCTTGAAGAGGCAGTAATGGAGACGGACGAGAAGCCGTCCATAGAGAATAATTTCCTCTATCCATCTCGACAAGCCCTGCGGGATAGACAGTACGAACTGGAAGCAATGGGCCAGGACTCGACTTTTACCGATGTGGACCATCTGATTTTTGCGGTGCACATTCCGGATAATGAGACCGACCCGTTGTATTATCCGGGAGGAAACGGAGGAGTGGATATGTTGGACGATAGTACCGAAGTTAAGACTACGTCTGCCGTATTGAGCGACGCTGTTAATGCATTAAATGAAGAACCGCAGATAGAATTGCCGTAAAAGCATTAAATGCTAAAATTTAACCGCCGTAGTACACAACGTGTATACCGATATTTAATCGCCGTAAAAGCATTACATGCTAAAATTTAATCGCCGTAGTACACAACGTGTATACCGATATTTAATCGCCGCAAAAGCATTACATGCTGAAATTTAATCGCCGTAGTACACAACGAGTGCACTTAATTAATCGCCGTAAAAAGCCCAACGAGCGCATCAGATTGAATTTATTACAATCATTACAAAAAATGAATTGCCGTAGTGCATTAATTGCATAAAGACAGATGAGTAGAATTGCCGTAGATGCATTAAGCTGCAACGATGTCGTGGATCGACGCAACAATGCGTATGACTGGAGGAAAACTCCGGAATGGATCGGAAAACCTGCAGAATAACAAGGATTAACATGCGGGATTGGATTTAACCGGATTGGAAATTTACCGGAATAATTTTACCGGATTTTGTTGCGAGTTTAACTCGTTTGATTAATTTTACGCCGCATTTAGCAGCGTGTGTTCTCACTAACCTGTGATGGAATAATTGGCACATTTTTTTTTAAATAAGAATTGCTCGCTATGTTGCATTTAACATGCATTTTCTCATTTCTTTTTTTTTCATTCCTGTTTTGAGCCTCAAGGGGCTTCGGCATCCCGTCCCGTGGCATGTCAGAGTGCTGCGCATATAGCACAGGATATTGGCACATGCGCCTCACCATCATTGGCTCGGCTTGCCATCCGCCAGCTTCTCAAACACGACTGATCGTGTTTGCCATTCGAGTGCCAGCTTCGGAACCGTTAACATCGATTCCTAGCATATTTTGGTTTCATGCCTTTTTTTCCCTTTATTTCGATGTTGATTAGCTTTTATTTCGGTGAAATAAAGCGATTATTTCGAGGAGATGTTGTTTCCGTTGTCGTTTCTCTGTACAGCGTAGACGCTTCTCCGAGAGTACGGATGACATCCCTCGTTTGTGTGGGGATCGCTAGAATGGCGTCCTACCCCATGTTGACGACGCTAATTTTTAAGTCGCAGCTGCGACCTCCCGGGGGTTCGGAGAGAATCAGGTGATATACATCCCGAGACAGTACTGGATGTTAAAAAGTTTTGCCTTGTCACCGATTAGCTAAGGGATGACGTCGATTTTTAAACGAATTTTGGGCGCACGGATGGCGACCACGGTAGACGGGTCGGGAGGTACAGCGAAGCAGGTGGCGTTCCAGTTCTGGTGTAACTTGTCAAAAAATGCTTACTTATTCTCAATCTTGGGTTCAGATGATGCAGGAAAGGAATTGTGATCATGGTAAAATTAAATAAAAATTCTAAAGTCTGTTGGAAATTTTTAATAAATCATTAAAGTTTTGGTGACAACTTATCGTGTGCACCCTGTACATGAATTGTAGTACTGTACCCGCGCGAGTTTAAGGGACAGTAAATTCCCCTGGACCGCCCGCACTAGATGTCAGTTTCTTTGATGTCAAAGAAGCCGACGCCTAGTGCGGGCGGTCTGGGGCAGATTTCTGTCCCTTAAACTCGCGCGGGTATGCAGTAACTGCATCATAGCGTTGCCATGACTATGCATATAAATGCAGCTACGCTGGCGTTGCTAGGTCGGTAAAATTACAGAATCTCGAGAATCTCGTGTACATATGTACATGTCGTAAGTACACTCGTACATCACAGAAACAAAACAATAAGCACGTACGTACAGTGCTATTCGTGTACAGTGTCAATGGTCAATGGTCTTAAGCGGTTCCGGTTTCCACAGCTTTTCTCGGTTCATCATGTTGTTCATTTATCAACCTTAACCGGTTTTTAGGGTGACTAAGATGTGCTAAACTGCTAATGCACAGAGACGGAAGAGTAACGCTAAACACGTACCGGATGTCATACCGGAAGTTGAATGCGCCTTTTACTGCTAGACTTCAATCAGAAAGAATCAGAAAGAATTTTTCCGAGTCAGCGTTTATAAGGCGGCTGCAGAGCGTTCAATCTGTTAGAGAATGGCAGCCGCAAATCTGTGCTGTTTATCTGAGTTGAGAGCAATGCTTGGGTTTATAGTTCTGATTGCTCTTGGCGCCGGTTGCGTGGACGGACTCGACTACGTCATCCTGGGATTGGGCGGCGTTAAACCCGGCAGCGCGTTTCCCGTCTCTATTTGGTTTATCATGCCACATCGAATGTTAAGATTGACATGGCCCTAGTCGGACAACGGTATGTGTGCAATCTTCCTTATACCAACTGTGAACTTACCGATTTTTAGTGTAAACCCGGTTCATTTTTTTTTGCAACAGACGCATCGACCAGTTGGTGTTTTCCTCGTCGGCCTTTATCCAGCCTGAACGTGTTACCAGACTTGAAATTCATGTACGTTAATTGACTGTTGCCCACATGATCAATTGAACAAACCCTAAATTCCGAATTTAACATCCGTATGGTTTAAACGCCCCCTTTCGTAAGTCCGATATAACAGACGCCCCCCCCCCCACCACCGAAATTGTTGTCCTGGGGCGCAAAATAGTTTCTAACAGATCTCTTGGTGAATAAAATGACAGTTAAGAGTTAGCAGAAATTAAATTATCCCTGAATGCGCGTTCCCTGTACTCACCGGCACCGGCGCTGCTCCGTGTGCATATTGCTAGCTTTCTGCATATTGCCCCTAGTTTTCTGCTGCATCATTCTAACGCTCGTTTACATATACTTTACTTCGTATTTCTTACTCCCTGCTGGTTTTTCTTTTCGCGTTTACCACCCAATAGTTTTTCATTAGGTGGGTGATCTATCCAGTTTGACAGCCGATAATATGGCGCTATACATTACCGGAGCTGACTCTTCGGCTGCTTTTTCCGCCGCATATCCAGGAATTTTCTGGAACAATGCAATGTGGAAATGGGAAGACGACCGGCAGGCACTGTTTCCGCAAATTCTCATCCAGACCGAGCAGCCGCAATACCATGCAAAAGACACAGTAGGCTTCCACGTCGTATCCACGAGAAGGGCGGTAGATCGGCTACAGCCGATAATTGTGCCGTTCAACGTCCAGATTGTGGTACGCAGCAATGTTCCTAAAAAGCGTTCCCAAAAATTTTAATTATTCAACATTCTCGGTTTTGTGGAGGATCCGCTAGAAAACGTGGTTAAAGAGTTTAGCAACCCTAACGGCTCCGAAGGTTAGTGGTTTAAGCGACCATCTATGTAGTGTTGTCATGTTGTACTTAGCAACAGTTGTTTGTAGTAGCTGTATCTCCTGCTGTTTTGTACTCAGTTCTCATACTGCCTGGCCAGCGTTCATGTGGTATTAAAATCCCTATTATTTTGTAATACGTGACGAATCTACATGTATAAATGTACTTACAAGTTTGCACTTCTCTCTAGTTACTGGTTATTTTGCCGGCGAGATGGCGTTATCCACGGATCCACTTTTGGGCAAGTGGACGGTTCGCGTAGTAAATGCATCCGTTGGTGAATATCCAGCTCCGGAAACGGTAAAGACAGATGTTCATCTTTATAATATGGTTGCATCCACTACAGTACTTTCATGCATTCAGAACCCTAATGTGCTCCTGATTTGGTTTGCTGCTGGTGACTACATACTGACAATAATCACGTAACTTGTGATACATATACTTGACGTTATTTTGTGCGTTAAAGAATACACCAACACGATTTGCCCGTTGTATCTTCGGATGCTTGTCCCCTTACAACATGGGTCCCGTTCTGGCCAGCAGACAGTTCTCGGTTTCTGAATCCAGTAAGCTCATATACTGTAGTTATATGAGACATTGTGTCCGACTATCAGTTGTAAAGGTCTATTTGCTTCAGTTACACCGCGATTCGAAGTCAGGATCATTAACGCTAAGGAAAATATCGTTCCATCGGTGGATGACGAAATCTGTTTCAATGTGTCCGCAAAGTAAGCTTCGTGGTGCTTGTATCAGAAGGCTGGGATGACGTTGTGGGTAAAACCACTTATGTACCTCCGTTCCATAGCTGTAAAAAAAGGAGAAAGTTACTGCCTGTCAAGTATTCACTACTGCTTATTAAATAAATGAACTAAAAACCGGTTACTGTCAAAAGCCCCGTCTGTGGCATTATACCGGCAATCCGAACTGTACAAAATTCGCTTCCCCTTGGAACTGGAAACCTTCCAGCCTGGGAATCCTTTCACAGTTAACGCACGAATAATAGAAGTGAATGGTCATCCGCCGCCGACCAACCACCGCGCAGCGCTACTCATGGTGCGTTTTTACGGTTATGTTCCATCTCGAAAGGGACTGTATTCAGAATGGGGAACGTGGAAGCCACTATCGGCCAGTGGTCATGCGACCTGCTCGAGGCACGCAAAGACGAACGAGGATACATGGTCTGGTCCCCCTTACAGTAACAAGTTTGGCGATCGTTATGGCGCCGAGTTGACATCTGAAGACGGCTGCGAAGCGGACGCGGCTGTCATGATGCCGGTGGATGTCGCGGACGCTGGGACGATCAAGGTCGCTGTCGACACTCCCAAGCAAGCCGACGCATTGGTCGTCAGTATTTCTTACATGAATTTGACAAGAATCGACGCTCCGGTCCACGGGAAATACTCTCCGTCGGGGAGCTTCTTGGAAATCAGGCAGTTGGCGATTGAACTATAAACCATGGCCGAATTTGACATTATCACTACAGCCCGATCCAACGAACCTATTTATCTTGTGGTACGCGAAACTATATAATGATGGCGTTGCCAACATAGTTTTTTCATGATCTTAGTTCATATCTTGTCTTACTTACTCTTTATTTATTTTTCTTTATTTATTTCTATGGATGTTTAGATTTTACAATTTCGTTTAGCATTTAAATGTTATGTAAGGGCGGGACGCCCCGCCCTCCTGAGTAGCTATTCGCTGTTTCTGGGGATTTCCACCCCGCACATTGCTGCGCTGTTTTGACGGACCTGCAGCACAGTTGCACTGGCTGCAGGATCCTTCCTCATGAGTCTGGTGTTGCTGCGCCACGGTGCGCATTAGATTCGGCAATAAAGCCTCATCCGGGTTCACCGCTGTTCGCTGTCGAGGATACGCGTGGCGCCCATACGGCCCCGCGTCATATGGTCGCAGATCATGGTTGCGAGCCAGGCCGTGCGCGCTGCCCGCGCGCACGGCTCCTCTGATTATTTGAGCCAATTTAACCCCCATGTGTGCAGCTACAAATGCCCCCATTCCCGCGGAACGTGATGGATTCCTCTCCCAACTGACGGAGATGGACGCCTCCCCGCGCCGGATGCCTCCCAAACTGGACGGAGATGCCGCGGAGCGAGAAACGCCTCCTGCGATGCCGTGGAGCGAGAATTGCCTCCTGCGATGCCGACGGCGAACGCGACCCGGACCAGCGGGAAACCAGAACGGATACACCGCCAACAGCAGCACCAACTCCGATCCCAACGGCACGGATCGACCACCAGCATCACGCCGAAGAATTCCCCCACCATAACACTGCCCGAACTTCCTGGGACGGCGACCTCCCCCCGGACGGAGCAGTGGATTTCACCGCGGATTTGCGTGCGTGTCACTTCGTGACCGAAACATTTCATGACCAAGTCGGAACTTCTATTCCGCACTTAAAGAAAAGTTAAGTTTTGTAGATGTTAAGTTTTGTAGATGATGTCGACAAGCTCCGACAAGAGCAACTACATGTGGAGTGACTCGATCTTTGCACTTGGTTCGCGCGTTACGGCCACTGTGCCCATTAGTGAATCCGTCCCGGGATTATCATACAAGGCAATCAAACGTTGGAGATTGTTTCGTTTATGTAGAACAAAATTAACGCTTTAATATTCTACGTTGAGGTTGGCCATATGACCTTGGGGCAGATTTTCCTCGAGTTAAATTTTACCGGTGAATGAGTACTATGCAGGTATCCGGGTACTCCGGCGCAGATATCCTGTTGAGACCCAAAACGCAATCCGCCTCTGCATTCAAATATTTCTTGCTGTTTGCAAATAAGTAGTTCATATGCAGATAGTCTGAGATAAAGCAGCATAACGTCAAAAACGGCAAGCCAAGCACAATGCAACGCGATCATATCCTTATTATTGCTGCTGATAATTACTGCGATATAGGCAAAAGTAAAAAATAAATTACGACGAAAAAGATATCGGGAGACGGCTAAGCGATCACAGTTAATGTTTACTTGATCCTGTGGCTGGTTTAGATGATCATCAAGAAGCTACAGGTATGTGAAAAGGGTCTTTACTCTTTATACAACGTGGTTGCCAAAAAAATAGCACAACTGTAATTTTTTTATCTAAATTGCTTTTGTGGTATGGATGGTTTATGTCGGCGTTCATATCGGTTTATATGCGACATTAATACGCCACAATTCTTAGCGTATAATAATGCACGATTTCAACAAAAAGATTAATATTGGTTTTTTTACGTGTTTTATATAAATTTCTGAAATTTGCAGCGGCTAAAACGGATAATTTTGTCTAGGGTTTGTCTGCTCAACGATTAGACTAAATTAAACCAAACTACGAATTCAAAATGTTGCTGTCGGTCATGAAGTGTTACGGTTGTGAAAAGTTCTGGTCATGAAATGTTGTGGTTGCGAAATGTTGTGGTCATGAAACGTTACGGTTGTGAAATGTTGCGGTCATGAAATGTTACGGTCATGAAATGTACGTTGTGAAACGTTACGTTGTGAAATGTCGAGTTATGAAATGTCGTGTAACGGATAGGTCACCCACAAATGTAAGTCACGCAAAGACGGGCGGTCAAAGAAATTGAACGGTCTAGTGTATACTCAGTATACTGCACATTATTATCGCCGCAGCAGTACAGTAATCGCTGGTTTTGTAAACGAGTTGACCAGTTATAATGCTTAGTTACTACATAATTATAATACTTAATTACTTACGGCATAGGTTGCACTGTCGGTCGCGCCCAAGGGAAATGTGTCCTACGTTCGGCCGGGCGACGAGATCTCATTACGGGCGCACACCGCTCCCTCGGCGCTGGTAACTTTTCTGGGGAACGTCGATAACAGTCTGGGGAAATCCAGCGACGATATAACTGGCACCGTATGTGACAACATGAGCATCCAACAGATTTATGGGCTGATACGGACTGATCGAGTGTATTGCAGAGTACCTTGCGAACTACCGCCAAAACGGATCCCGTGTTCTTGCTGTCGGCGGGGGACTATTTCTTCGTATGTTGTTATTACATATGTGATATCTGTACACTGCACAGCCTTCACAAAGTCGATTCAACACACGCTTGGTAATTTATGTAAGAAAGCATTCACTTTTCTCAGTACCCCGCGAATGACGCTCGGGCACAACACTTTATCCTCACCAACACCAAGCTGGAACCATCTATTTTGGCCTACAGGTTTGTTATCAGTTAAGACATCCGTCCGCTGGATGTTTAAGCCGCTTTACCGGCAAAGCTACCCGGTTACCATACGAAAGTTTGAGTAGGGACGCGAAATGTTAAGGACCTAGAGAAATAAATTTTTCGGAAATCAGTGTTGATTCACGGAGGGTTTAGCCAACTGTAACGACCACTGTGCCGTTTTAAAAGCTACCCTTTTTGCCCGGTTATTTACAGGACCTATAAGGACAGGACGATGAATACTGGGAAAGCACCATTGAGCATCGTACCAGCGATAGAGGGTCTACTCATCTACCCGATCCAATCCGCAAAGATTCGCGACAAAGTGTCTTTTTTGGCACCGTTCGGGCAGAGTAAGTGAGGCACTGCATGCACTGCTAAATTATATTTAGCGCAATAGCTTCAACTTATTACTTAATACTAAAGCAAGATTAAATTTAACAGCCGAAATGGTGATGTCCAACTGAAAGGCAGACTGCCGGATGCAATGGCAACATGGCAAATTTCGCCATCAGCCTCAGTGATAACAGCGGATTAACTGTCTCCACCACACCGCTCCTGGTGGGTGCATCTGGCTTCGCCAGAGCAAAATCAGTTACTGATCTTGTGCTAATGCAGGTGGAAGCGTTTCAACCGCTGCGAGTGTCAGTACTGTTACCATACAGTGTTATCCGCTCCGAAAACCTCACTGCGAAGGTTTTGGTTAGCAACCGGATACCGCATCAGCAGAATGTCACTGTCACCTTGTCGGGAGTACGTACGTACCGGTACGTATAGTGCTTTTCGTTCATGTTTTGCCCTTAGGGCCTTTTTCATTCATATTTATACGTATGTTGTTCATTCATTTGTCGGTTGTTCTGGTTTTTTGCTCATTAAAAGTATTTAGTTTATTTTCATTTCGTTCGCTCTCGTCGATTTCCCATCAACGAAGCGTGTCGTAGCGCTTCCTACGACATTTGGAGGTCGTACCGCACAAAGGTCACGGTTCTCAACTTCGATTGTGCCCCTACCATAATCCCTTAGCAACCCGCTTTGCTATATTTTACGTCCGCAACAATCCCATCGCCCGTATTTACCGTAACTGCCCAATTGTCCCGGCATTCGGTGAGTGCAACCTGGCGCCTAAACCGCGCACAACGCATAATAGTGCCGATACACGCAGCACCAAGAATATTTTTGAACACGCGTACGAACAAGAACAAGAGGTTAAGAAAGCGCGAGAGGAAGCATTAGCAAGGAAGCGTAGCAAGGTTAACGCTCAGTCACAGACTGCAGAATCAGATACCGATTTAAGTGGTTTGGATTCCCCGATAAATCAGTCGGTAGAAGGTTTTGTCTCAAACCGGTAGTCAGCAACACACAGCTGCTAATATCATGGACGCGGACCAGTTTAATACGATGATTAAGACCATTACTGATGCCAGTAGTACGGCAAATACGGCAACTAATAACCTGCTCGATAAACTGGTGGAACAGGCTAATAAAACCGCAAAGTTGCAAATAAAAGATTTACCAACGTATCATGCGTATCCGCACGAAGATGCCGTTGAATTTATTGGCCGTTTTGAGGGAGTACGTGCGTACGTACAATGGACGACAAAAAGAAGTTGAACCGACCAGTCGGTCCGCGGTTCAAAAATAATCTCGCAACGACACGCCACCAGTAAAACTTCGACGCTTACTTCTTTCGTTGCACGTTACTTTCAAACGCTCGCGCTCCGTGAATTTTGGAATGCAACTATACAAATTGCATATCAAAAGGCGCAGAAAAAAATTCAAAACTTTTTGATACTATACGTGTGGCTGTTTATGGCAAATAACACAAATTCTAGCCATTCTGCCTTCTCGTAGGCACAGCAAAGAAACTGTGCGCAAAATCGTTTGGCTTTCGACCTATGCTTAAGTCAATGAGAAAAACAAACACTGATAATTTGTTCTGTTTCCCATGAATTGCTACTTATTTGGAATCAGAAATTTTGTAATTTTTTTCTGGATCTTTTGAGATATTGGCTGGGCAATTTTATTTCGCAGTTCATGAGAAATGGTTGGTAGAACAGACTGTACGACGCGCTCGCCTGCACTGGGCCTGAACAGAGAAGCGCTTGTTTGCGCAATATATTTTAAAAACCAGCCATCAACTTCTTTTTGTCGTACATTGTATAGTGCTTTTCGTTCATGTTTTGCCCTTAGGGCCTTTTTCATTCATATTTATACGTATGTTGTTCATTCATTTGTCGGTTGTTCTGGTTGTTTGCTCATTAAAAGCATTTAGTTTATTTTCATTTCGTTCGCTCTCGTCGATTTCCCATCAACGAAGCGTGTCGTAGCGCTTCCTACGACAACCTTGAAGTTTACCAATCCCGACAACACCACTTCGACTTACGTTAAAACGGACGTTTTTGTTAATTTAGATGACACTATAGCAGTATCATTCGAGACTACTCCGCAGCAGATTGGGGAACTAAAGATGTCTGCCACCGCACAGTCCAAGTTTGCATACGCTCAGATGGAGGCAAGCTTGCTCGTGAAAGCGGAAGGCGTTGAGCAGTATCGTACGCAAGCCGTCTTTATCGATTTGCGCAATCTGCCAATGCCGCCGACGAAATTCCTGCTTCAGCGGGATCCACTTGGGAAGGTCACTGGTTCGGATAAAATAGACATAAGCATCACTGGCGATATTTTGGGCCTTTCCATCCAGAACTTGGAAAAACTAATTAAACTGCCGTACGCTTCCAGTGAAAGCAGCATAGCCCTGACGGCTTCTAATGTGGCAATTCTGAAATATCTCACACGGACCAACAAACTAATCGATTCGCTAAAGAAACGGTTGATCAACAATACCGAACGTGGATACCAACGGGTTCTGGAATACCGGCACGCCGATGCCTCGTTTAGTAAATGGGGAAGCGCTGAAACAAACGGCTCCACATGGGTAACTGCGCACGTGGCCAAAGCTCTCTCCGCAGCTTCCGTCTTCACTCCCACTATCAATAACAATGTCATCCGAAAAGCGTTCCGCTTCTTAAGAAGTCAGCGAAACGCAGATGGATCTTTCCAAGAAAATGAGGATACGAATCGATATGGGGATTTACAACGCGTTTCCGTAACTGCCGTCGCTGCGCTTTCGTTTCTACAATACAATAGTACATCAGCAGCCGGCAGCGAGGAGCTGGATAAGACCTTGCGAAAAGCAGTCAATTATCTGGAAGATCAACTAGAATTGATTCAAAACGATTCGTATGTGCTGGCCATGACAGCCTATGCATTGACCAAAGCGAACAGTCCAAAGAAAATCGATGCACTGAGCCTGTTAAAAAAGCGGATGGTGCACGGTCAGTCCAGCATACACTGGACTGTTGATGAAACTGTCAAAGATGGATACCAGATGGCAGAAAATTCCTATTCAACGAGTTCAAAAGATGTGGAGGCTACAGCTTACGCACTTTTGAATTTCCTGGCCAACAAAGATCTCGATACTTCTATGCAAATTGTATCATGGCTTATATCGAAGCAGAATGCCGAAGGGGGCTTTTTCTCTGCACCGGTGCGTGCTCCAGTTTTACAGTTTGACCTTCAGTAATGCCAGACCTTACGGCGTTGTTGGTTTATTTAGGATACTTCTGTCGCTCTGGAAGCTCTTGCTGCATCTGCAAAAACTCTTACCAGTCCGCCCTCGCTTCAAGGAGAGGTTGCAGATGGCACAGATGGCATGCGGAAATACAAGTTCACAATCACCCCGGAAAGCTCCTTATCGGTGCAGGATATGATATTTGCGGAGAAACCAGACGAACTCAGTGTACATGCAGAAGGAAGCGGGGTGGCAGTAGCTTATCTGAGCTCCACATGCCATGTACTGCAGCCCAGAGAGAAGGTCTCCTTCGACGTTAACGTCACCGTCAAAACGTTTTCACTCAAGAAAAGTCGATTGGATATTTGCGTTAGGTCAGCTAGTTGTTTCCGACCTTTTGCTGAATTTTATTATTCTCCACTGTTGTTTGTTGAATGATGTGCAAATATTCAGGTATCAGAAAGATGGCGCAAGCGGGACGACGGTTGCTGAAGTCAATACACTTAACTTTCCGGATACCAACTTGATGAAGAAGAAATTAAAGATCTGCCTCGTTCGATTGAAGGACTGCGGAAAACCCAACGTGACAGAAAGAACACCAGACTGAATCTGTATTTTGACGAGGTAATGCTTGACTAATCACTACATATTTTTGGCTAATTCCGTTTTGCTGGTGTTCGATTGTCGCTATTGCAACACAATACTGCATTGCCAGCAGTACGTTTGCACTTTCCAACCTAATTTTGTGCTGCTCTTGCAGATGACCCCGACGATGAAATGCTTCAGCCTGAATATGTATCGCGTTTACAGAGTGGAGAATTTGAAGGAGCAAAGCGTTGTCGTCTATGATTACGACGATCCCAAAGAGCGACGAACGGTCTTCTATGCGCTGCAGCTGTATGGCTCATTCTCTGATGCGGTATTCTCAGTAGCGGACAGTTAGGGCAGAGTGCGCTAAGCTCCAAAACCGATTAAGAAACCGATTAAAAACATGACCGATTAAGAGTTTGCCCGAGTCACTGAAAGTGACTCGACTCACAGAACGCTGCTATTGGCCAATTTCAAGCCACCTCCTAGAGAAGTTTCTTAATCACTACCGATTGAGAAATTTCCGATTTGCAAAATTCCCGAATTTCCTTAATCGGTCCGATTAACAAACCATTTAAGAAGTTGTCCGATTAAGAAATTTCTCCGAGGAAATGTCTTAATCGGAATCGTAATCGCTCTGAATTGCTTAGCGCACACTCCCCTTAATTGACAAAGTGTGTTTTCTACGCTTCCAACTTACGTTTACAAATATTGCGGCATATTTCACCAATATAAAAACCGTAGTTGACATCTGGTAGTAAAAAGACAAATTGATTATGAGACATTAAGCCGACCAGAAGATTCAATACTTCGCAAAATTACAAAAGAACCGCAAGGTCTCGGTTGTTTTGTTTCTTCTGGCACAAAGCTGGAGCCTTTTTGTTTCGGTAAAGAGTGTAGTGTATAAGATGGATGTACTTTGGATGTTTGATTACTAGTAACAGCGAAAACGGAACGTTAGTCTGGACGGCAAACTGTTGAACGCAGTGAAACTTGGCGAATTTTGGCCTTCAGTTTTAGTAAGTAGATTAACGGCCTCCAAAAACCGCTTTTGGTTAGTAAATAGCCGGCTTCTTTGGGGTCAAAATAGCATTAATTCTGTCATGCTGATGCAGGTAAAGATGTTTCGACCATTGTTGGTCTCGTTGCTATTACGGCTGCAGCCGGATCCGCTCCGAAAACGTGTCAGGAGATCACTGCTTACGAAAGCGTTTTGATAGGCTCTGTTCGGATATCTCCAGCTAACGCGTTGGTAATTTAAGTGACGTCAAAACATATAATATTAACTCTAGTTAATTATTGTTAGCGAATGATTGATAACTATTATTGCCATTTCGATGAAATGCTGTCCTCTATCAAGTTGTCTCATGCATGCTTTCTTAACGTTGACCCCTTTGAGTGAACGTATCTTATCAATTTTGCGACAATCATATATTTGAAACTGCGGTACAACTGTAATATTATTATATCATGGTGTCAGGTACCTGCATCGAAATGGGATCACAATAATAAGAATGTTTTATTTTTTCACCAAGTTTTACAATTTCGTGACCGTGTCAGCCCGATTAGTCGATCCAATAAATTAAATGTAGTTGTCGCACGAAACTGGCAACTGAGCATGAATCGTAGTAACTTGTACAGATAGATAGGAGTGCGTCACAGCGTTGCTAGGTCGGTAACATTGCAAAATCTCGAGAATCTCGCGTACGTACTCGTACATTCGTACGTTCGTATGTACACTCGTACATCACAGCTAGGAACAAAACAATAAGTACTTACGTATCGTGCTATTCGTGTTCAGTATAGGATTATACCTAATGGTCAATGGTCTTAAGTGGTGCTGTATATTTTCCACAGCTTCTCTCGGTTCATGAGGGTTCCGTTTAATAACCTTAACTGACGAATCCAGTAAGCCCATCGACTTTATTATCTGGGTATCCGGTATTGTGTCCGAGTATCAGTTACAAAGTTCTAATTATTTCAGTTTCACCGCGATTCGAAGTCAGGATCATTAACGCAAAGGAAAGCATCAGTGGATGACGAAATTCGGTTCAATGTGTCCGCGAAGTAAGCTTACAGACTCTGTAAGTGCTTGGCTCACAAAGCTGTGGCTTCAGACGGTTCTGTAGTACTGTAAATCACGAACAAGCTAAAATCCAAAGCTGAAACTTACAGGTAGTCAGGTACTACTTACTGAGTACATGTATTGCAGATTATTGCTCCTTAAACGAATTAGCTAAGAAAACTGTTTTGGACAGTTTAATGTTAAGCTGCAGTAGTACAGTATACTGCTCCGCGGATGCCCTTATGCGTACGCTTCTTTGTTGAGCTAAAAAACCGGTTTCGAGCAGCAAGATTCGTTCTTTTACGTTACTCCATAATCTTTGAGCGAGTCAAAACTGTACTTCCACTATTACACTTTGATATCGAATTGTGATTATTATATTAGGTACTCTTCCGGAAAGCCCGTCATTCAGTGTTGCGACTGGCTTCGATACATACGATTATAATAAAACCACATACAATCCATACAACGATACGTGCCAATCTGGAATACGTCAGCACCTGTGGTAAGAGTTTACAGCCTGCAGTAAAATTTATACCTTTAAATATACGCTTTTGGTAATTTATTTACTCTTACAAACGTCTCGTTTAGAACAACCAGGGCGAAGCAGTCATAGTTGTTCCACTGCAGCCAGTGCTAAAGGACTTCCAAGATCGAATGCGCGTCAGTATTCGGGCCAATTTCACCGAAACCGGAACCGGTCAGATGCGGAGCGCCACACCCGTGACTTTATACCTGCAATCCGAGCTGTACAAAATTCGTTTCCGTCTGAAATGGAAACCTTCCGACCTGGATATCCCTTTACAGTTAACGCACGCATAATTGACGGGACGGTCGTCCGCCGCCGACCGGTCGCCCCACAGCTCTCCTCGAAGTGCGCTTTTATGGTTATAAGCCATCACGCAGGATGATGTACTTAGAAGATGGATTGGATTCAGAGGGACGCAGGATCCGAGTATTACGACACACGACACGCCCCCTTTCTAGTGGTCTCTGTTACAGTTATGTGTGTGTGTGTTGAATTGGTATAAATTGTGAAATGTTAAACGCTAACATGTGTCACTTGCTGCGTAAAATTTTTTATGCCGGTATTTTGTATACCGACTGTGCAGCAGCATTTTCGTATAGTAGTTTCGTTACCTTTACCATTTACGCGCCATTTCGAGCGTCTTTTTGTAATAGCTTGCAGTAGTCTTTGAGGCATAATTCGCATCAATTCGTTATGTCGGCATTTGTTTATGCATGTATCTTGTGTGTATCAGTTGATTTTGTCGGACCAGTTAGCAAGAAGAAGTTGGACCGCATGAATCGGCAACACGTCAAACGCATCATCGTTATGTGGAACGAAAAACTGCCCATAACCGGAAGATGGAAGCGAAACCGGCTTTTGGTCACTGCATATATTTCGCACAGCTAAAATGGTTTGGACGCAGGTTTTTGGCTTAGGCCTTATGCCAATTTGGCGGAATTCCGCCAAACCTGCGCATCCCGACAACGCGTATGTCAAACCCGTCCAGGATTTTCGTCCACCGCCCACACATTTTCTTCACCACTGGATGATCCGCCGCACGCACTTTCCCGGGATTGCCTGCGCAAACCTTGCTGGAGAGACATCGCGCTGCCTTTTACTCCGAAAGCCGGTAAACCAGTACCCCTTTAAACATGACCTGTATGATGTTCTTGGAGAGTTACTTCTGTCTAGTCTTCGCTTAATTGTCCTGTAATCATCGAGTCGTTACCGCTTTTGCTGCCATGACCTGTTTGCCTCTCACATTCCGGATCCTCGACCCTATTGTCGTATTGTGCATCCTTCACTTGGCCTTGAACAATTCTTTACTTGCGGAACTGTTTTTTGCGGTTGACCTGTGGAAATCCCAAATTACGTTTTTGTTTTGCTCTAATTCGTAGGATGCGATAGGAATTCCATTGCTTCCTGCTTTATGCACAAATTTTGCAGTTGTGTGCGAATCTACTGCATGATGTGAATTCCACCAAAGAATCACTTCATCTTCCAGTTTTGCAATACTATGTCACGTTCACCTTGTATAGCATCGTTTTCGTGGTTGCCATTTGCCTTATGTCGTTGCCGTAGGATGCGACCGGAATTCCGTCGCTACCTGCTTTGTGTACGCGATTCTTCAATTGCGGGCATTTACTTTGTGAGCCGTGCTCTGCTTGGTGTGATTTCCGCCAGAGCAGCACTTTAATTTATTAGCATTCAGTCGTGCATTTAGGTCAGTCTGTGGAATTCCCAGACGAAATAAAATCGTTCGTGTGCCTTGCCTTATTGCCGTCGGATGCGCAGCACTTCCTTGCAACCGGCTTTATTACGTTTTTCGTGCAAACTCTTGTACTTCGCTTGGTGGAATACCGCCCTAAGCCGTGCTGATTTGCTATTTCTGTGGATCAATTCGTTTGCCAATGATTTCGTGGTTGCGCAGGGATGTGCGGAATCCTGCACTTCACTAGTCGCGCTCATGTAACTGTTTCCCTTGAATCCAGGGAATCAGTCTTCATAACCGTTGCAACTGATCCTATTAATTGTCGTCATCATCACGCCGCATCGGATCATCTACTGTATTCTTTTCGTGTTTTCGTTTGGCTTTTTGGGCTTGGGGCCGGTTCCGGCCATGTTCGGCATAACTGCCCAAAGGAAGTAAATTCCGAGTCCACCTTTGGTGTTCTTGCGTGGCGTGTAGGAGCAATGGATTGGATTCAGAGGGACGCAGGAATCCGGGTATTGCGACACACGACACGCCCCCTTTCTAGTGGTCTCTCTGTTACAGTTATGTGTGTGTGTTGAATTGGTATAAATTGTGAAATGTTAAACGCTAACATGTGCCACTTGCTGCGTAAAATTTTTTTTGTTCTTGTTGTCTTTGTGATGGCTTGGAGCCGGTTCCGGCCATGTTCGGCATAACTGCCCAAAGGAAGTAAATTCCGAGCCCACCTTTGGTGTTCTTGCGTGGCGTGTAGGAGCATTGGAATATGGGAGCCACTGTCGGCCAGCGGTCATTTGACCTGTTCGACGCAAACAAAAACAGGGAGTATACATCGTCTTACTCTCTTTACGGTAACACGTTTGTCGGTCAGCAGTTGAAAACTGAAAACGACTGCGAAGCGGACGCGGCTGTCATGATGCCCGTAGATGTCGCAGCCGATGGGACGATCAAGGCCGTTGTGGACACTCTTAAACAAGCCGACGCGTTGGTCGTCAGTATTTCTTATATAGATCTGACCAGAAGCGATGACCCTGTTTACGGAAAATGCTCTCCGTCGGGGAGCTTCTTGGAGATCACGCAGTTAACGGCACAACTACAAGCTGGAACTAGGGCGAATTTTGATATCATCACGACAGCCAGACCCAGTCAGAATATTCACCTTGCGATACGCTAGACAACTTCGTTTTACAGTTGCCAAAATAAATTGCCCGAGCTGGTTTACATACGTTAATTATTTTACGTTAATTAACGTATAAATTTAACCAGCTTATGCAAATCTTTTTATTAGTACTTAATATTATTACTAGAGTATTATTTATGTATATGTTTTACAATATAAGTTATTGTATAAGTTTTGTAGGTGATGTCGTCGAGCCCCGAAAAGAGTAACTACCTATGGAGTGACGCCATCTTCACATTTGGTCCACACGTAACGGTAACCGTGCCCATTAGCGAATCCATGGGACGAGAGGGACGTCTGGCAGCATATTACATCCGCAGCGACGGTGAACTGGTCGGCAGCATTCTTGGCTTGGTAATAGACCATGACAGGTCACCAACAAACGTAAATGACATGGAAAGGATTGGCCAGAATAAATAGTATGATAGGCAACAAATACTGTCTCAGCGTTACCGTTTTCATTTGTTCCTTAATCGCGTTCATACTATATTCTATACATATCTGTATAGACATACAGATACTACAGTATATGCTACATCGTGGCAAAAAATGATACGCATAATATTCCATAGGTTGCGTTGTCCGTCGTAGCCAAAGGAAGTCTGTCGTATGTGCAGCCGGGCGAACAGGTCTCATTGCGGGCGCACACTACTCCCTCGGCGCTCGTGGCTTTTTTGGCCGTCGACAACAATATGGGGAACAACAATTACATAACCGATGGTAGTGGCACAGTATGTGAAGAACCAAAAAACAAAATGGGTGTTTAAAAATTAATTGATTGCATTACAGTATTTGAACAACAGACAAAACAAATCCATACTTACTGCCGGCGGGTGATTACTTCTTGGTTTGCTTTTTTTTATGTAGTATCTGCCGTCTTCATACAGAGGTTAACGATCGTTATCATACTTGTACCTTTGATGAATCATGTAAAGGCAACACTCCCAACACGCCCCTTTCTAGTACCCTGCAGCTCGGATGCGTCATTTCACCCTTACCAACCCCAAGCTGGCACCATCTGTTCTGGCCTACAGGTCTGTACTTAAGTAGTTAAGACACCCGGACGATAGCTTGATATCGAAGCCGTTGAACCGGCAGAACCATTCGGTAATCAAACAGAAAACCGGTTGGAAAGTTTGAGTACAACTGGTCCGGTTGATAAGGCACTCGAAATGTTAAAAGCCTGGGAAAGAAACTGTATGAACTGGGAATCTGAGTTCGTGGATGGCTTTGCCGGTGGAGCTACCAGTGCGTCGCTCTGCAGTTTCACCGTTTTAGCCCGGTTGCATAGGTTTTTTTATAACAACAATCGATGTATTGGCGGGGATGTTGGACCGGGTTGCGGAGGCATTTCATTCACGCGGCCGATGGCGAAAAGACAGTATTACGAAGAATTTAAAAATTATCATCATATCGTCGTGGAGTCACTAACCTACCCGATCCAAGCCGCAGGGATCCGCGGCAAAGTTTCTTTCTTGGAGTTGGAACCGGTCGGGCAGAAAAGCCGCTCGGGCAGTAAGTGAACTCTTTCAGCTGGCCGAAAACTGCGCAACCGGAAATGGCTTTTTAAGAAGTACAATAATTTTGACATAATAATATTATGGCAAGATTACTTACACAGCCACAACGGTGATGCTCAGCTGAACGGAGAACGACCGCACGCAATGGCAACATGGCAAATTTCGGGCGTCAGCCTTAATGATAGCAACGGATCAACTGTCTCCAAGGAACCGCTCCTGGTTGATGATTTCGGCTACACCAGTGCAAAAATCGGATAACTAATGTTGTAATAAAACGTGGAAACGCTTCAACCGTTGCGGGTCTCATTACTCTTACCATACAGCATTGTCCGCTCCGAAAACCTGACTGCAAAGGTTCTGGTTAATAAGCGGATGCCGCAGCAACAGAATGTCACTGTCACTTTAAAGCTGACCAATCCCGACAATACAACCTCGACTTTCGTTAAAACTGGCGTTTTCGTTAATTCAAATGACACTATAGGCTTGTCATTCGAGATTATTGCGCAGCAGATTGGGGAGCTTAAGATGTTTGATACCGCACAGTCTGTGTCTGCATCCGATCAAATGGAAAGCACCTTAATCGTGAATGCGGAAGGCGTTGAACAGTATCATACGCAGGCCGTCTTTACTTTGCGCAATCAACCAATGCCGCCGACGAAAGCTTCCGCGTGATCCCCCTGGAAAGGTCATCGGTTCGGAAAAAGTTGAAGTACTCGCTTATAGCGAGTGGCGACGTTCTCGGCAGCTGCATCCACAATTTAGACAAACTGGTTAAGCTGCCGTACGGAACGAGTAAA